ATCTCAACTATAGGATGAATTTATGACATGATGAATAAATCTAATGGTTTTTGTGTTCATTATATATGCCTTGTTTAAGTCATTTCAACAGAATATTATCCATGCGTAGAAACAATCAAAAGTTCGTTTAAATTCTATGAAAACGATACTGTTTTTATATAATTATAATCCTGCTGAGATGCTATGTTTGTCTTTTTAAATTGTCAAGATTATTTTCAAATTTCTCTAGTCGATTAAGATTGAATAACTAATTTAAAAAAATAAAAATTGATAAATATTTTTCATTAATGAGAAAAAATTTTGAAATCTTATCAGTGAAAGAAAACGAAATAATTGATCAAAAGTTGCACGATAATCGAGAGAAAATGATGTCATTTGAGTTTATTCTTTGTAAAAAAAAATAACTGGCTTTAATCCAGTATCTTCACTTCTCTTGTACGGATCCAAAGAATAAGCAGGATGACTGCAGAAAAATCAAATATTTATCAATGAACTTAGAGATTGTGATTGACTGAACGCTATCATTTTATCGATTTGCAGATTTTCATCGCTACTTACCAAGAGGTTGCGATTTATTTTCTATGTGTTCTAAATACTTTTGATGTGATAACCGTGGTTAAACTTTTCTGAAGTGGGGAGAACTGTATTGTACAATGATAAATTAGAATGAGTATCAAATTCATTAGTTCTGATGAAACCAACTGAAAAGACAGGTTCATCACTGGTTGATGGATGTTGATGGAATTCCATCGATAATAGATGCTTTGAAAGATTCCATTTAGCTTCGAAAAAGGCTTCCAAATAAACTTATGTGAAAAATTAACAGGGCAAAAAAAATTTGCCCTGTCCTGCCCTGTACTTTTCTTCGGTCGCCCTGCAGGGCAAACAGGACAGGGCAAAAAAAGAAGTTTGCCCTGAAGTACAGGGCAGGGCAGTACAGGGCATCAGGGCAACAGGGCAGCCCTGACCTGATGACGGTCTCTGATTCCGAGTAGACAACAAGAGCTATTCTATCTCAAAATCACGACTTTTGACCGGGGAAGAGTTCAATTAAAAATTCTTCTTTAAGATGATGATGAATCGAAATGTTCAATGCAAACAAAACAACTTCGTATTAATAATATTAATCGTGTTTATGATTATTGTCTTAATAATGTAATTTGTCGACGAACACAGTATGTTAATTAATAAGACAAAATTTCAAACAAAAAAAAAAAGAATAATAATATTTTTTTTTCTCTATTGATTTTATTTTTCCAAATAGACTTTTAGAATATTTTGGTGAATTATTTCCATCATCTGAATGTAAACGTATAATGTCAACTGAATGTGATAATTGTCGACAAGTATATAAAACATCATCTATTGATTGTACACGAATATCAATTGAAATTTTAAAATTAGTTTCAAATTTAAATCAAACAAATTTAACATTACCTTATATTATTGATATTTTACGTGGAGTTAATAATAAAACAATTCGAGATGCTGGTCATCATCGTTTACATGCATTTAATTCATGTCATCAATTAACTCGACTTGGTAAAGAATATATAGATAGATTTTGTTTTGAGTAATGTAATCCAATTAAGATTTATGACTAGAAATATTCAGAATATAGATTTGCGGGATCAAATTTTTTTGCTCTCAGTTCCGATGATTTTAATTTTGGGGTTCCAGTATAGAGAAGTTTATTCGCATTAAATTTTAAAAAACTAGCACTTCTGAAATACTCATGTTTTGATTTATTCAGTCAATGAATGTCATTGATTTTAATTATCTTTCTTGAATTTTGTTTCAATAGATATGATTTATAAGAGAATTCGTTTCAAAAATTTAAAACATTCGACGACAATTTTTAGTTCTAATTTCCGTAGGGGCTGACGGAGACAATGCTCCTATGAAGATTGCCATTGTTATATCACGAACTCTATGTCTGTGCCTCTGAAAAATAGACATTTGCTGTCCCGAAGTTTTAAATTGTCTCTCTAGAAGAGGTTGATGTGATCATTGATCTTTGGTTAAAGTCTGATGAGATCAAACAAGTTCTAGAATGTTGAAAACAGCCTAGTAGGAGACAAGTTACCTCCTAGAATTCGTACATTCGATAATCTTAATTACAAAAAAATATCTGTAATCAAGAGGTAATTTTATTTGTCGAGTATATTTTATATCGTATATATTTTATACATTCATTAATTATATAGAAGAATTGAAGAATTCGCAACAATCTAGAACGTCCCACGAAAAACACGGAATTCAATCATACCATACGCTTTCTATATTGGTATATCCTTACGATATTTTCTAGTAACTATCAGAAATATCAATAGTACATATGTAGAGATCAAGCGACAAGTATTCGATGTTAGACTTATTTTGTTTTTTTTTTATTTATTCGTCTACGAACATAGATCTCGAACGACTTATTTCTCGTCTTATAATTGATGGTTATCTCAAACAAGAATTTATTGATCAACAACCATCTTCGATCACAGCTTATCTACGTCCGGGTATTAATGCTGTTCAATTAACTTCTTCAAATTCACAACGATCTGGAAATACGACAAAAATTCAAATTGAATTAATAATTCGAATTGAACAAGTGAATAATAATAATAATAATAATAATAATAATACAGATGAAGAAAGATCAAATTCAAAACAAAAATCAATTGAACAAATTAATGAACAATGTTTTATTGAATTAAAAAAAGAATTGAAAATTATTTTTGGTACTTCTTCTTATTCAAATGTCATTGCAGAACAAACAATTAAAGAATTAGTTAAATTAATGCCGTAAATATTCGAAAATGGCGTTTTGTTTTTCTTAAAAATTATTTTATAATTTTTAGTCGATCAAAAGAGAAAATGATTAAAAATGTACATGGAATAACCGAAGAATTATATAAACAACATGATTTTAATCGTTTATTACGTATTTTACAACGTTTTGGAAGTCAACGTGATGAAATTAAACGAAAAGATTCAATACAAAATTCATCAGATAGTGAACATGAAATAGATTTTTCTTTAGATTTTACTGATCGATCAATATATGGCAAAAAACGACCAATGGCATCTGTTATAACAACGACAATTACAAAACGAAAAAGAGGACATGGTAGTAGTTTTTAAGTATGTTTTTTTTGTACAGTGAGAATGTTTTATTTATTTATTATTATTATTTTGTACTCTGTTGACATTGTTTTTTGTTGTATGATATTCTAAAAAGATTGATTTATAAATAAAACAACGGATTAATAATTCTGATCATATGTAACTTCAATGTCGTTGCATTACAGGGCTGTTTAGAGCAAAATGCAGTTAGAAATAATGACGGAGACACTCATAAAGGATGTTCGATAATACGGAAAAGAAGGAAGTCAGCCCAAACTGATGGAGAGGAGAAGAATGACAAACATATAAAATGTGTCTGATAGATTTTGATCTCTTTCAGTAATATTCTTTTTTTTATATATTTTTTCCATAGAATAGATTGATATTTACAGCATATATATTAGACATCTCGATCTACTCTACGTTAGAACTTGAGCATTCTATCTCTTATAGTCACAGAAATATAAGTAACATAAAAATTCAAAGGAATTTTGTGTCATTTTATAAGGAAAGTTAAATATAAACCAATGAATAGAATTAGATTTACAAATCGAAATTGTTTCAACATAAAAAGCAGCAAATGTTTACTAATTGGTATATTGTTCGTTGCAGCTTTTTCTATCTAAATTTGAAACTAACCGCGTACCTTAATGCTACCAAATATTTTGTAAACTATCAAGTTAATTTTGTTATAATAGCGTTATGAAAAAGATATTATTTTAAAATTTTGGTGAACTACTTACGGAATATCAGTAAACAAACTAGTGGAACATAATTAACTTTTCACGACGGTTCTCATATACTACTTTTTTCTCAAAAA